TTATTTGTTTACTTTTGCTACTTCAAGAAATAAAGCTACCAAAACTAAACCAAACCAAACCAAGAAAAAAAAAACCAAACCCACTGCCGTGGAACCACTGAATCTGACATTCAAAAAACTGCTAGTAGACTCCAAAATGGAGTCTATTCTGAAAAATTAGCATTCCCTTTTAACTAGCTCATTAATCCTGCATCAGGCTCTACTATATCATTTAGAAATCATTTATACAGTTGATAAATAGCAGAGCCTCTTATATATGTAGTCATGTGGCAGAAGTGAAAAAGTCCTACTCATTTCTACTACTACTCAGTCTTTGTTACTTTTCAAGGGAATATGACTTTATAGAAAAATTGCGGATATATATTTTGTAAATAAATGCCAGCATATTTTTGGCCTTGTGATCAGATCAGCAAAAAATGGAAATGATTTAGAGATTTACCAGAAGCAATTACTAGTAGTAGGAAGCAATTCTGTAACCAAAGCCAATTATCTGTCAGCTAATTGTTTTGAAAATTATCACAAATATTGTGGCTGAAAATTCTGAGTATTTAGTTAAAATCTTAATTCCATAAAGAGAACTCGTAAGTGTTAATAAATTGTTTGTGTACACTCATCATAAACAGAGAAGTCATATAAAATTCATAATGTATGGATAAACGAATAAAAAGACATACCCTAAAGCACGTTAATCAATAAAATAAAATCTAGTGCTCTCAAGGAACAATATATAAAACATTCGATATTTGATTCCTATTAGGTATGAAGGGTTACACTGTGCAGAGAACTTAGGGGTTAGTCATAAAAGTTGAAAAATGCCACAACTACCACGGCCTCTACCAGACTGAGTCCAGTACAACTAGATGGTACCCGCCTACCACCACTGACTGCTCTGACCGGGATCACAACAGAGGGTCCTGGGCAGAGCTGGAGAAAACTGTAGAACAAAATTCTAACTCACAAAAAAAAAACCAGACTTACTGGCCTGACAGAGACTGGAGAAACCCCAAGAGTATGGCCCCTGGACACCCTTTTAGCTCAGTACTGAAGTCACTCCCGAGGTTCACCATTCAGCCAGGGATTGGAGAGCCCCATAAAACAAAACAGGACTAATGAGGCACAGCAGTCCAGAGACAAGGACTAGAAGGCAGAAGGGGACAGGAAAGCTGGTGATAGGGAACCCAAGGTCAAGAAGGGAGAGTGCTGACATGTCATGCGGTTGTTAACCATTGTCATAAAACAACATGTGTACTGTTTAATGAGAAACTATTTGTTCTGCAAACCTTCATCTAAAGTACAATAAAAAAATACATTAAAAAAATAAAGTCTAAAAAGTTTAAAAATGCATCTATAGCACATCAAAGAAACACCAGCTGAAGTATGCACACTGCTTAAGAAAACCATGGAGTTTCTGGCTGTAAAATAAGTGGAATTTAGAAAATTAGGGCCACTGAAACATGGCCAAAAACACAGGGGCAATACTTTACTTGTGGCTGTACAAATAACATGAATGCTCTTGAAATGAGTGATAAAAAACTGAATGTCTTTAAAAATGGCTCTCAGTAAGAAGATCCAAAAGAGTCTTAAATTAGGTACATAGACATGTATACAAAAGTTGAGAAATTTGGAAGATGCTCTGCTAATTTAAAAACAAAAATCAAGGGAAAATTTAATCACTCATACCAACACTGGGAGACCTCACCTTTTTCTGGTATTATCTTAGAACATTTTTCATCTTTACTTTGTGCTGTCCCTTTCTTGGCCCAAACAGCTTCATTTTTCTTTGTTTCTGTGTGTCCTTTTGCTTTGTAGTATTTTGTAGGATTTATTTGCTCTTTGATTTTTCCGTGTAATCTATCTTTAGAAATAGTTTTTTTACACCTGTCAGTACTTTCAAGTTCTTGACAAGCAGATCCAGCCCATGTACTCTGCTTGAGAACTGATGTCCCATTCCTCATGTGGCTTTTCAAAGAAGAATCATCAGCATTACCAGTTTCTTGATATTTTGATAGAGTCTGTTGCCTACCATTAATATGTTCAAGTACTCTTTCTTCATGCATACCTTTTTCTTGGTTTTGTGAAAATGAAGTATTATAACAATTTATTTGCTTTGCTCTGTGCTCTAAATTGGATTGTTTTTTCTGACAATTGGCATCTTTGGAGACTTCTGGTAATGTGACATTTTCTTCTTTATAAGTATCTACAACTTCTGCTGCAGAGCTTTCCTCTTCTGGGCGAAAGTCATTTATCATACTTGTCACCTGTTCAGCAAGTGAGTCAGTTAAAGCATAGCTGACCTCCCCGACAGCAGTGGCCAAGTCTTCTACAGCACCACTAATTGTGTCCACCAGAGAGGACACTGAAGGCAGATGCTGCTGAAAATTTTTGAAAAATGCCATTTTCTAATTCTTTCTTCCTAAAAGGTGCAATAATGGAATTTTCTCTTCTTAATTAAAATATCAACCATTTGGGAACTTGAATTTAATGTTTACTTAAATGTCGCTACTCATCAGCTCAAATTAGTATTTCATACTGTAGCTTTTAATCCTTCTGTAAATGCATTACGCCTTAGAAGAAATATGTTGAAGTAAAGACTCTTCAGGGAAAACAAATCAAACCACTTGGTTTAAAGGTAATGACATTTTTCCCACTCCACAGCTATCATGATAGCAGCAAGACAATATTTTTCCCCTCAAATACTACTGAATTTTTATTCTATACCTGCAAGGAAGAAGTATAAAAAGAATTTTTATTATGTACTTTTACTTTGTTAATAGTCTATGGTGGGGAAACTACTCTATCTTACTAACATACTACTAGTATTGTTTAAAATTACAGAAAAATGTTAAGAGGAAAGCATATACATTTTAGAGGAACCAAAGGTGGAAATATTGGAATAATTCTGAAAAGAGATTGGAACAGGGGAGAGAAGAGGATGAGCATCTGCTGAGTGGCTGTGGCACACAGGTTTTGTGATTTACACATTTATCTCACTTGATTTTACAATAATTCTCAGAGGTAAATATTATTATTATTTAATAAACGAAAATAAAAATGAAGTTCAGAAAATTTTAGAAGGCCCCCAAGACACTCTGAAAGGATCTTCAAGGTCAAAACTATTTTTATAATAATACTAAGGTGATATTCAACTTTTTCACTCTCATCTGCTCCCAAGTGAACATGGGCTTTCCAGAGGCTATAGACTGAATGTAGAAGCAGATATGATAATCCAGCTGTTGGCTATAACACAAGACATTAAAAAGGTTTGCAAAAATTGTGAAACACTACTCTTCTTACCAAACGTTTTTGGTTTTGGAAATATAGTTTTAAGATACATTATTTATATTAATAAGTTTATCATTTTTTAAATAAGTTGACATTTTTAAATTTTCTCAGTTTTAACTTTTAATATGTAAATATCAACAGATATATGACCCACAAATACCCTTTCAGATTCTCAATAATTTTTAAGAGTGTAAAGGGATCATTAGACCCAAAAAAAGAGAGCTGCTGAACGAGAGAATTATTGGAGGCTGCTAAAAGAGATTATCTTTAACCAGTCATTCTACACAAATGATCAGAAAGTAGAACTGGAACGGAGTATGAGAAACACTGAACTTAACCAAATCAAAACTACATACAGTACTATAGTTTCCTATCCCAAAAGTCACAGAATGTAATTAACAGATTTTTATAAATAATGGGGCTATTAGGTTTTAAGTTACCATAAGAGAAAAGCATCTTTCTAACATATGTACATAAAGAAAAGCTTTCTCAAAATCCTACATTAACACCTTGCTTTTATAACTCTCAACTTGTTCCTGCAATCATTTATATAGAAATAACAAATTAATAACTCTTACAAGAATTAAAAGAAAGAATAGTATTAAAGCCCTCATAAATGATGATATCTAGTAATATTAAAATTATATAATTCATATGATGCCAAGGGAGGAAGCAAACACTACTTTTTATAAGCAGACTCTATATACTAAATTACTGGGGAAAACCATGCTCTCCAAACAATAAAATCATCCATCAGCTGGGAATTCAAAAGCAGGTAAAGAAAAAGGGTGGACATTTGAAAACAGCTCTCTAGCCCTTTTGTGGGCACTGGCACATATATGTTCCTGCTGCATTTTCCACCCCCAGAGGTTTATTGGCAGGCATTTGAGCCTTTAGTACGTTCTGGCATCGTAGTGGATACCGGTCTGTGCCACATTTGAGTGCTGAGAGTCCTTCGTATGAGGGGATGCTTCCCAGAGGAGTGACTGTGTGAAACTTGTGTGCCTTTTAGCTTCTGTACAGCAAGATAAGGCTTGCAAGTATGTTTATTATTTCCTTTGTGTTAGTGGGAAGGTATGTTATCAGCATTCAGAAATATTCAAGTAAATGGGTTATTTTGGGGGTGAAAATATATGTGATGCACTTTCTGGGCCATGGGACTTTTACGTACCATGTTTTTGATATACTTCATGGAACATGGGACCTATACGGCTGGCTTGCAACTGGTACCCCATTTTTTCAAATAATAAAAAACTACCCACAAACAATGATTCAGTATACATTCCATTAGTGAAAAAACATGGCATCACAAAAAAATTCCAAAATAATCATAATAATTCATTCTTTAAAGGTCTAGAGAGCTATTTGGACAGTGGATTTAAGCTGCGTACGCATCAAGATACTTTCTTCTTCCTAAAGCACATCTGGTCATATTATAGACTCAAAAGCATACACTATACATAAAAAATAAAAGTGTCATTTTTGCGACTAAACAATTCACCTGTATGCAGCATATCGGCAATCTGTGGGCAACAGGATACAACTGGCATAATTTACTTAATAGTAAATCTTCTACTCTCACAGAACAGTGGCTCAAATGTTAGTTTACTATATATAGAACTCAACCTTTTTACTGTATATATATTTAAAACCATACAAAATAGTAGAAAAGCAGAGATTTAAAAAAAAAACAAGAGAAGCAGTAATGTGATACTTACAAATTTTATCTTGTGAATTCTTCCTTGTACTGTATTCTGAACCAAGATCTGGAAACCCTCCAATATTTTCAAAACAGAACTTCTTATTAATATAGAGAAAAAGGAGCAGCATCAAGATAATAAACACCCCAACAGCTGACAAAAATCCAACTGCCTCCGGAGATACTAGAGGGAAAAAAGTCACAGCTGTAAGCATTTATTTCTTTTAAACTACAAATAAAAGGAAACTCCCATACGTATGTTAAGTTACTGCCTTATTTGAATTATATTCTTTGATTGTCATAGTTTAAAATAGTTTTAATTATAAGAAAAATAAACTGTATTTAATGATACTTGTTTAATTTAATCAACAGCATTCATTCAAGTCTTCTAAAATTTCCCTATAAATTATGTGGGAAACAAATAAAACAATGACAGGAGTCTACAAAATAAGCATTTATCATATGTTTCATCCACTGAAGAGTATTACAAAAATTTTAACATAAGAATTTTAAAAAATAATTCCCAGGCACTGGTATATTACTTAATCAAATATGATAAAATATATATTATCATCTCTAAAAGCTTCAATGCCCCATTCTTTTTAAACAAATTCTGGATGCCCTAACATGGCATTCAAAGCTCTGGCCTCTTTTCAGTATGACACTCCAGTTACACAGTTCCACTCACTGCCTTTGAACCGGCTGTATGCATTTCCACACTCCTTGTTTTTGTTCATTCTCTTCTCCTTGCCTGGAATGACCAAGTCTTCTCTATCATATCACTCATTCACTCAGTCACCAAATATTTTTGGAGCATCAGCCTTATACCAGGCACTGATACAAATGCAATAAAATCTATGATTGGGGAAGAACAGGAACTGTAAGAACCACAGGAACACAATCAAATGTTGAGAGATCAAGAGAGCTTTTCTGAAAGTTATAACTTCTGTGATTATATTTTAAGAATTAGCCAAGTTAAAACTATTCGAGGCAGAAGAAATAGCATGTGCAAAGGCCCAGAGACAGGACATCACTGCACATTCCAGAAACTGAACAAAACTTTGCTATGATGAGCTACCAGATATACAAATCTTGAGATAACAGATGAAATTACCTAAAGAGATTGTGTAGAGTGAGAAGAGACAAAATCTTCTCCAACTATTCCCAATCATCTATCACTCCTTCCTTTCAACTTTTGCATTATTGTCACTACACTAGTCATTTAGAGTTAAAAAGGAGCTAATTTTGTGTATCCCCAGTGCCTTACATATAATGTTCAAATATTAGCTGAGAGTGACTCCTAAGCTTCAAACATCCCCTACATCTACAACTCACCCTTTCTTCCTCCATCACTCACTCAACAACTAAAATGCTATATCCTTCAAGACTCCTTCTCTAATCAGAAGAGCTGTAGTAATTAGTATCTAATTCATTTGCTGAAAATGAAGTCACCAGCTGATTAACGATGAGTGCTTTATCCATTAATCTTTCATTATCTGTGAAAGCCACATCTCCTAGGTATAGAATAAAATATGACATTATAGTGTCCTTAAAGCTGGGTCATTAGTGTTGTGGTAGAGGATGGAGCGAAGAGTGATACTGTAGGGGATGGGCAATGAGAGTAAGGGGAAGAGGTGGTAAGAATGGCAGGGCGCTATATGGATATCAGATCCAGGGACACGTGCTAGAACCAAGACGTTATACCTAGGCATCAATCCTACCTACTTCAGTCTCTGTCTGGAGTACAGCCAAGGAAGAGAATAATATTTTAAAAAAAGAAGCCAAGGTACATAACATAAAAACAATGGTATGCTTCAAGTCTCAAGGATGAGGTAAGAATGAAAACAGAAGATTATCATCAGCATTACTAGTGGCCAGGAAAGTCAGAAGTTGGACAGAATCTGGTGTGAAGAGGTAGAAGAGACTAGTACTTTAATATCACATTGTAAATAGAATACATAAAGAAGCTGCCCTTTTATCACTGAAACAAAATACACTCAAAGTTTGATGCCTTAAGTGGCCACACAGGGTTAGATATTAGGGAACCTGAACATCTCTCATCTTGAAGACTAGATGTGATAGAAAACCTAGCTCACTTCATTTAAGAAAGAAGTAAGAAACCCAGTTACTGCTAATAAAAATAGTAGCAAGCACATATAGCATATATTACGTACCATTCACCATTTTAAGCACTTTACATATATTAACAACCTTAATTTTTACCATGACCCTATTATTATGCCTATTATAAACTGAGACTGAGATGCCGAGGGACAGATTATTAAACTATATGCCAGCTAGCAAGAGGAAAGTCAGGATTCAAACCCTGTCTGGCTCCAGAGGCTGTGTTTTTAACCATGCTCATACTGCTTCTCCTGTTCTCCCCTCTCCTTCTCTTCTTGTTTCTTCCTACTGGTTACCTCAATCCTATTTCAGCGCTCCTCCTTCATCTCCCTCCTTCTCATTTGTAAATCTAACTTAATGGGAAACATCAACTATAAACGAACAGATATAACGCAATATAGTAAGTACTATACTAGAGGTATGAATGTAAAGTATTACTGGAGCACAAAGAAGAAACACTACCTGGGGAAGTTTCAAAAAAGCTTTAGAAAGGAGATGACACTTGAGCATGGTTTGAAAGATTAATAGAAACTTTATAAACAGTAAAAGGGCAGATCAAATGGCATAGTCAAGACATAGGAACAATGTGCACAGCATCCTATGAGCACTAGTGGGCAAGAATCATGGCTGCCTTATATATTTGTATCCTCAAAGTACCTAGCACATGTCTATCTAGTACATAGCTGATTTTTAATTAACATTGTGAATGAATGAATGAATTAATATATGTTCAGGAAAGAACAAGAATATATCAGAGGTCATGAGACTAGAGGTGAAAGTGGAGTTCAAATTGTCAAAGAACCTTTAATACATCCTAAAGATTTAATGCTTAGGAAACAATATGATTACAGGTTTGCCATATAGAATTATAATGCCTTAAAACAATCAGAAAAACGAATATAGTAGGGAGTGAATGGTGGCAATGAAGCCAACTGTGAGACAGCTTAAAAGTTCCAAGAAAATGTAATAAGTTTGCTCATGATCATTAGCCATTAGAGAGATGCAAATCAAAACTGCAATGAGATACCATCTGTCTTATGTTGGGTTCTCTAGAGAAGCAAAACCAGTAAAGCATATAAATATATCTACAGAGAGATTTATATCAAGGAAAAAGCTTACACAATTGTAGAGGCTGGAACGTTCCAAGTCCATGGATCAGGATAGAGGCTTCTCTTGATTCATGTAGCCGCAAGGGCTGGCAAACCCAAGATTGGCAGGTTGGAGAGCAGGGCTCTTGCTCACAAGCTGTGAGATCAACGAATCCCAAGATCAGCAAATAAGCCGATAGCTCAAGTCCCAAGACCCGGAGGTCAGACAAACAGGAGGCAGGGACAGGATCCAGAGCAAGCAAAAAAGGCAGAACATCTGCTTATATTTGGATGGAGGCCACACCCCCAAGGAAACTCTCTTTCAACTGACTGGCTACTCACAGCAGATTCCATCATGGGACTGATCAGATATAAACACTGAAAATCATGGCCCAGCCAAGTTGACACACAATCTTAACAATCACAGTCCACCCCTTGTCAACTTGGAGCATGTACACATCTCCTTAAACCATACATAATCTCTGAGTAAAGACAATTATAAAGTCATACTTGAGCCTACCATGATACAACCAACACAGGTACAACCGAAAATGCACTAGCCCCATTTACACCTTATATTTTACAAGTGAAGAAAAAAAAATATTTGATGTACACATACAAAGCAGAAATAGTCATAACAATTACAGTCCTCATTTACGAAACCGGTCATGTGGCCATAACTGGTATTTAGAACTGCCTTCTTCCACCACCCATTCCATATTCCCTTTGCCCTCGGCAAGCACCTCAGCTGGTCGTGGTTCTTTGCCTGGTGGGGTGACACAAACCTTCATTCATAAAGGGTCTGGGTCATTAGCAGTCTTGTTGGAATTGGGCTGCTGTAGTTTTCCACTGACTTTAATCACAGGGCATGGTAGTACTAAGAAATGCCCTAAGGGATCTCCTGCATTCCAGACATACTCTTCTTTGCCTCTGTTATGCAGTATCAGTTTGATTTCCTCTTGGTAATCAAGATCCATCACACCAGCCAGGATCGTAACTCCCTTCTTTGCCTGTTGATCCAGAGGTATAAGAAGCCCAAAGTGGCCAGGTGGCATTCTTACCTTCCAGTTCAGTGGAATCAGTGATGTGTCTCCATGTGGGAGCATTTCTCCCTTTGGAACTAAGCCCTCTAGACATGCAGAGCATAAACTCACAGGGACAGGAAACAAAAATCTTCTGAGTAGGTCACTAGGGGTACTAGTGAGTGGCACGACTCCCATTTCCACCCCTTAATTCCTGGACTCATGAATCCTGGCTATGGGAGAAACAGCACCATATACTGGACACTAGTTTAGAGCATCTATAGCATCCTGGAGAACACTGTCCCAACCTTATGAGGTACTACCACTTAGCTGACGTTGTAACTGTGTCTTTAGAAGACCATTCCATTGTTCTATCAAGCCAGCTGCTTCAGGAAGGTGGGGAACATGCTAAGACCAGTGAATTCCATGAGCATGGGCCCACTGCCACACTTCATTTGGAGTGAGGTGAGTCCCTTAATCTGAGGCAATGCTGCATGGGATAACATGACGGCAGATAAGGCATTCTGTAAGCCCATGGATGGTAGTTTTGGCAGAAGCACTGCATGAAAGGAAGGCAAATCAATCTCCAGAGTAAGTGTCTATTCCAGTAAGGACAAAATGCTGCCCTTTCCATGATGGAAGTGGTCCAATGTAATCAACTTGTCACTAGGTTGCTGGTGATCACCTCGCGGGATGATGCCGTATCAGGGACTCAGTGTTGGTCTCTGCTGCTGGCAGATTGAGCACTCAGCAGTGGATGCAACCAAATCAGCCTTAGTGAGAGGAAGTACGTTGCTGGGCTCATGCATAACCTCTATCCCTGCCACGGTGGTCACTTTGTTCATGAGTCTACTGAGCAATCACAGGAGAAACAGCTGAGGAAAGAGGATGACTGGTTTCCACAGAACACATCACCCTATCCACTTGATTGTTAAAATCACCCTCTGCTGAGGTCAC